GAGCTCGGGGTCCCACGGCCCGAGCTCAGGGCACTGCGTTCATCCTCCCCCTGTGCGGCCCTCGGGCTGATCCGCTCCCTTCCATTTCCCAGAGTCGCTGTGGACCTGCAGGTGTTTGTGCTGAAATACAGACGCCTGGAGGAGGCTTTGAGGATTTGGGTTTGAGGTAGCGAGGATCCTCCAGGGACTCTGTGTTTGCCAGTGTGTCCCGAGCTGCCGGATCCCGTTTCCCGGCCCCACGCAGCACCAACCACACGGCTCGCCCGAGAGCTTCCCTTTGTTTCAAACCCTTGGAGCATGGAGCACTTGTTGAACCTGACAAGTGCATCCAAGTGGCTGACAATTAGGAAATAAACAAATATCATTTGAGGCATTTTGGAGCAGAATCCAGTGTCACATAGACCGGCTGGTTGCTGTCGTTATCATATTGAATATTAGCCATAGTTGTGATGTTTGTGCTGCACAGCAGCATTCCCAGCACGGCAAACACCGCATTATCTCGCTGTGCAAAGGCTTCATTAATCAAGGCAGACAATAGGCCAGACACATCCCTTTGAGCCCAGCGTTCGGATCCTCCAGGCTTTTCACCTTGTCCAGATGCCTCGTCCCTGTCAACGCAGGCAGCAGCTCTTCAGAACCGCTCGCTCGAAACTGCAGGGCTGAAAGGGAAACAATACCTGGTTCAGCTAAAAGAATTCCCCAGTTATTTTATATTTGCCCTTTAATTTTTCATGACTTGTAGAAGCAAAACTTTTTCAGTCTTTCAGTCAGCGTGGGAGATGAATCCACTCATTTGTTGAAATGCTAACGAAAGAGCCTGATAGATCTGTGTCCTTTAAAGCAGCAGCAGCAGCAGCAGCAGCAGCAGCAGCAGCAGCAGCAGTGTTCAGAGCGAGCAAGATGGATTGGCCTGGCCAGGCCGTGGCCTCGCTGGCGGGATCTGAGGAGCGGCCAGCGGCAGGAACAGCGTGGCTGTGGAGGTGCCTCCTTCACAAAGAGGGTCCTGGCAGAAACGTGGCTCAGTGCAGGGCACTGCACGGCAAAGGCAGGGTAGGGTGCTGCGTGCCAGGAACGTGTTGGGTGCAGAGTCTCCCCTTGCCATCCCTGCAGCACCACGAACGCGTGGCCACGTCCCTCGGGCACGGAGCTGGCAGCGGGACACTGGCACGGGGAGCCCTCACGGGGTTGAGCCTCCAGAGGGATATTCTCTCCCAGATCCGAAAGGAAGGGGTTAACTCGTGGTGCCTTGTGCCAGGCTGTGGCACCTCAAGCTGCAGCTGAGAGGGACCCTCGCCCCTCCTGCCGTGGGACCCCAGTGGGCACTGGTGGCGTTGAGCTTGGCCCTGGATTAGTGAGCCATTTCTCCTGCTCTCTGCTTGGTTACTGCAGGGCTGAGAGAGACATTCCATAATGAGCCAAAATAGTCTTTCTTGCACAGAAATACACCAGAACTGGTTCAGCTTGAGGAACAGAAGTGAGAGGAGCGGTGGCACACAGTGCTCTGGGGTGTGAGGCACAGATGCTTTCAGAGAAGATGGCAATTGAGCCCTTTGGCTGTGACTGGTTTGGTTCAAATTCAGCCTCTGGGCTCACATCTCAGTTCAGTTTAGTTCTCAATTTTGTTGTCATTTCTCCAGGAACAGGGAAGTGCAACACAGTCAGTCTGCTCTTTCCTCTTCAGACAGCAGCAGACACTTAACCTGGGACTGGGTAACTCCTCTCATCTGCTTGGACACAGGAGTATCTGAATTGCTGGGGAAGCAGAGAGACCCAAAATCTCCCTGACATCCTCTCTGGATGTTTGGCCTTGGAACAGCCTCAGTCAGGCAATTCCTTCTCCCTTCTGCTCGTGGAGTCTCCTGTGCCACGCAGGAGACCGGAAAAGCACTTGGAAATGGCTGAAGAGGAGGGATGCTTCCTGGTAAATGGTCTCTAAACCAGGCCCTTTCTGTGCTGTGGCATTTCAGGGGCTCACCAACAACACGGAGCTGTAAACAATGGTGTGTGCTTGTATCTCAATCCTCCAGGAGTAATTCAAAATCCACGGACAGCGACGTGCCTGAAGGCTTTTCAATTATGTCACCAGGCTTTGGCTAGGGCCCTGACACTTTTAATAAACATTATGTAGCTTTAGGTGCTGCAGGCTCCAGGTTTTTGTTTAATCAGCCGTTGGGTTCTGCGTTCCAGGTTGGTGCTGGAGGAGCTCGTGTGGCCCGCCCCGTGGCAGCAGATGCCACCCGCTGCAACCGGACACTGCGTGTGCTGTCGGTGCATCAGAAACGAGGAGAAACGGCTTTCAAGGAACTGTAACATTTCATAAAAGCATTTGATTGCATTTAAATCTATTAACACGTAAACGTTACATTCCACACGTTCATAGCTGTTCCCAGGCATGGCCGCTGACAGTCGGATCCTCTCAACTGCTCTGCTGAGATCGGGATAGGGATACATCCCAGAGGAGAGCGGCATGCTAAAGGACACGTGGCTGCCTCCCTAAATTAAACAGAGTGTAAAGCTGTTAAGATTAGTGCACATCAATCCCTGCTTGAATCGAGAGATGCTTTGGTTTGCCAGCTACTGGGGACAAAACCCACCATTTCATTCAAAGTGTATTTAATGCGACAGAAGGAGGCAGATTCCTTTGACAGCTTTACAGCTCTTATCAGATTACATCAAAATTAAATTAAAACAATCTAAAAGAAGTGTGAAGTACTGCAGGGAGAACACAAACAAAACACTCCTCTTTGTAGGCTTTCAGGGACAGGGACCACGTTCCTTATCAGGGAAGGGAGGAATAAGATTATTCTGGAGTCAATTATGAGCCTGTCTGTGGGATCAGCGGCCACAGTGAGCACTGAGACATGAGCAGAGTGGGGAACACATCCAGGAAACCAGGCTAAGGCTCCCTACTTCCTTCATTTTTGTTAAATAAACAGCGGGGTGTGGAGTTGTTCTTTCCTGACAACACCCTCCAGCCTCTCACATCTACTCTATGGAGCGAAAAAAACCCTCCCAAGGCTGGGGCAAGCCCAGTGGGTCAGGGAGCAGCCCTTTTCCACCAAAACCTGGCATCACTGTCTGGGGATAAGGTTTTCAACGTGTTAATGCAACCTGTGCTCGGCATTTTAGACAGCACTGGAAGTGCTGGGAAGCTTTGTGCTACTTCAGGTATTATTTTAGCAAGCACAGATATTTTCAGAAGCAGTTGAGTCTCCCAGAACCAAACCTGGTGTGTGGCTGGGACAGGTTGAAGGAAGTTGGAGTCTTTCCTGGCTTTGAAAAATAAGAGAATTGTGGTGTGGGACAGTGTGTTCTTGTGCAGCCTCTGGCAGTTTCAGCCCTGACACTCAGCCACACGGTAAAACCTGTATTAGTCCCACAGGGCACATTTCCTGGCTGATACTCTGAAATAATAAAAATGAAATAATAATCATAAAAAATTAGTTTGTTTTCATGTACATATCAGCAGTGAAAAGCCTTCTGGAGGGGGAAAAAAGCAATTTTAACTATAAGACAACCATGAAAACCTTTTTATTCCCATTTTATCTGCCCCTGAGACTAAGGGAGAACGTCATGTCGGACCAAGGCTTCAGGGAATTCATACCCCTACATGTGGCTCCCACATCTGCACATCCATTGCCTGCTGATCCCTGGAGCAAGAAAGCTCTGACCCCAGCCCAAACCTTCCCCACCTTGTGTGTTATAAATAACACAGTTATTTATAAGGGTGTTGGAAAACTCCAGGAATGCTGCTGGATAACCAAAACCCGGCCGGGGAACCCGCCAGGTCCGGCACAGGCAGAGCCTGCAGCTCCAGCTGATGCTTTCATGTGGCTGTTGTTGGCCAGAAGTTCTAAGGAAGGATAATTACGATGATGATCTCACACTAATTGTACACTGATTGCTGTTCTAATTATGTTTAAGCATTTCATTGCTCTCCGCAATTTTGCCTATTGATGTAGCATTTCTCCTTAATTTCAATTACTCCCGTGGTATTTAGACTTTATTGGGGCACTGGAATTCAAACGCTAATTTGGCAACTTCCTTTCAAAGGGATTGAAGTTTTTATCTGGAAATGAAAGATGAGGGTTTTGTTTTCATTCCCAGCTGGAAATGGGAACACAGCGGGGTTGTCAGGGCTGGAGGTGTGTCATGACTTCTCCCACATGGATTTTGGGGAGGTGCCATCACCAGAGGAACACAATGGCACTCCAGAGGATGAGGAATCAGTTTTTTCGTGAAAAATACAGCATACAATAAACTGAGGGAAATCCGCCGCTGGAGGAGGGCCGTGTTACTGGAACTCCCGGATATTTTTGGAATTGGTGCTTTGCAAAGTCCCTGTTTCCCCATTTTGCGGGGACACAGATCCCCGCCTCGCCCCAGCCTTCCTCCAGCACCAGGCCAGAGGCCCGTTTGGCCCTCGCAGCCCCAGGAACAGCAACAGGTGAGGCCGCAGGTGATGCTGATGATGGGATGTGACAGCGGGAACTGACAGGTGGAACGAGCGCTCTGCATCTCAACACTCCCCGAGCCCGCGCCGGCTCCCCTGCTCCAGCAGCGCTCTCTGACCTGTTTTAGACCATTTAGGGCTGAAAGAAATGTCCCAAAAGCTTTACCCGAGCCAGAACACCTTAACCACGCCCCCCGGGCTGCTCAGGCCACGCCCCCGTCCCCATGGCAACCGCGGGGGCGGCACTTCCGGGTCCCGCGCGGGGCAGGGCGGGAGCGGCACGTGGGCAGCGGCGGAACTGCCCGGGAACAGCGGCCTCGGGAATATCGGGAATATCGGCAACAGCGGCAATTCCCGCGGCCCTGCGCTCCGCCAGCACCGGCACCCTGGACCGCTGGGGCCGCCAGCACCGGCACCGCCTCCCGGCACCAACGGCCGCCTCTCGCGCTGGCACCGCCGGCCATCCCCGGCACCGACCCACCGGCACCGCCGGGCACCGGGACCCCCGGCATCCCCGGGACCCCCGGCATCCCCGGGACCCCCGGCATCCCCGGGACCCCCGGCATCCCCGGGACCCCCGGGACCCCCGGCTCCGCAGCCTCCTCGACAGGTGAGCGGCCCCCGCGCGGGTTTCACCGCTGTTGTATCCAGCGCAGGTGACTCTGCGGAGGAAGGTGCGGCCCCTCGGGTGCGCCATGTCCCGTCCCGTCCCATCCCCGGGGGGTGCCCGCAGGGCCCGGCCGAGGCTCCGCTGGGTTCCCTGCAGCCAGCAGCGCTGATAAGGCGCGCTCGGGCAGAGATTCTCGTGCCGCGCCTTTCTCGGCTCTGAGCAGCAGTCCGTGGCGGATTTTGGGGCGCTGCAGGGGGTGGGATTCAGGGACAGGCGCCTGTCCGCGGGGATGGGGCTCAGAGTCCCCCGGAGCTCCGCGATGCTCCGGCAGTGCCCACACCGAGGGCTCTGCCCGGGGGGAACCCTCGGGATCGCTCCTGCCGTAGAGGTAGTTTTGTGTCTCACAGGGGGCTGGTGCTGGGGCTCAGACATCGGCACTGCTGTTATTTCTAACACCACCCTGAGGATGGCCCTGAGGATCCAAACTTGCACAGGTGGCTCGTGTTTTCTATGGAGCTGCTGTGCATCACTTCCCTAAGAGTCCTGTTGTGCTTGGACCGCCCTGAGACTCGTGCAGAACCCATAACAGAACCTTAACTTATGCTGCAGACTCTGTTTGCTGTATTTCACTTCCCAGTGCTGGCACTTTGCCCCCTGAGAATGCAGAGGTGCTGCGTGCTCAGGTCACCCACAGGAGGGTGGGATCCCTGTGCTGTGCAGCGTCACCAGGGGTCAGTTCTGAAGAGCCTGAGGTAACCAGGGAATTGGGGCAAGGAGTTTCTCTCCCACACTCAGTGCATCCCTGACCCTGTTGGGGTTGCTCAGCCCTTGCTATGCTGATTACTCAGCCCTTGCTCTTGGGCAGCTGCAGTGAGGAGGGCAGGGTTTGAGTGCTGTGGGCCTGGAGTAAATGAATTATGCAGTGAAGTGCTGTACTTAACTCCCTGAGTAACTGGGCAATTAGAGTAACTGGGCTCAGCTGTGGCAGCCAGGCCTCAGGTGCTTTGGGTGCTTCAGGTGCTCCAGCGTTTGCAGGAGATGTGCACAAATGCTGAGGTGTCCTAAGCACAGAGTGGGAACCAGGTAGGGCTGTTCCATTCAGGAATACCTGCTGGTGTCAGCTGTGTGAGGAAGAAGCTGCCAGACAGCCCCCTGAGGCTCCAGGCTGGTGAGGTGGGAGAGCTCTGTGCCCACCGTGCTCCTTTGGCACCAGAGTGGTGCAGAGAAAACAGCTGTGACGGTGACATTCCCCACTTGCACGGGCAGGTCACGGTGCCCACGGGCTGGGCAGTTCTCCTTGGACTTATCTCACCAGTGACTGGAGCGCTGCTGCTCCCACACTGTGGATAAGCAGCTGGAGCACAGCGAGACTCAAGCCTGGGATCTCAAAAACCAGTGAGGCACCTCAGTCCTGCTGGTGTAAGTGGGAGGTGAGGGGTCAAAGTTGCTGCAGAACCATGCCTGGGGGATGCCAGAGGTTAGAGGGGGCTTGTGGCTGGCCAGGGAATTGAATTCTGCTCCCAAATCCCGAACTAACTCTCTCTCTGTAGACTGAAGACTCAGGGTTGTTTGAAAATGAGCTGCCTGGATCCCTACAGAGCTCTGCAGTGGCTGTTTTGGCCCACTTAAGCAAAAAGTTGTTTTCTGACCGTGCCATTTTGACCTAGTGCAGAACTGCAGGTAACACTTCCAGGCAGGGGGCTTTGGTTTTCCCCCGTAAAGAAGGAACTGGTGGTGCACTGGAGTGGCCAGAACGATCCCTGGGCTTCACTTGAGCCACTGACCAAAGGAACTGTGGCAGAACCTGGGCAGGTGAATCTGCAGGGGTGTTTGGGTGGGCAGAGCTGAGCGCGGAGCCCCCCGGGCTGTGCTGGTGCCAAGCTGGGCACCCAGAGGGACTCTCTGATGCCCAGAGGGGGGTTATACAGAGGGATTCCCTCCAGGAGCCCTTCCTGGTGGATTCCTGTGCTGCCTAAATGGTTGCTGCAGACAGATGAGTGGGATGCTGAAAAACCTGGCTGGCAGGGAGGGAGCAGGCACTGGGGAGCTGAGGAACATGATGTGCCCCCTGTGGGATGGGAGGGTGGGAAGCAGGATGGCAGCCAATGGCTGTTGGCACCCACTGGCCTCCCCATCCATCGGGATATCCATGTTCTCCACTGAGGCAGCAGAATGATTTTGAGCAGTGGAAACACAGGGTGCTGAGATCTGGGTGTGCCTGGCTGGCTGCTGTGGAGGAGGGAACTGAAGGGATGAGATCCCAGGTGGAGCGTGGCTGTTACACTGTGTACAGGACATGAACCCCTGATCCTCTGCCACGATCAGATGGGGAAAATGGACACCTGGATCCCTCCGGTGGAGCAGCAGGAAAGGGTTTTCCAGCCTTTGCTCTGTGCAGGGAGACTGGGAAGAGGTGTATTTGTGTGTAGGGAGAGCCCAAATCCATGGAGAAGCGTGCCCAGGTGCATGGACAGGTGATCTTCTGCATCTGAGGTTTAATAAAATACTCAGCTGGCACCTGGAATCCGTGAGCTAGGGAAGAGCTGGGCTGCTTTGGAAGTGGTTTAGTTTGTTGATCTGTCCCTGTGAGAGGTTCTAGGGAGTTGTCCTGGGAACAAGTCCAGCCGAGTATTTCCTGCATGGAAAGGGGTCTGCTGTGGGGTTGTATGGGGGAGGAAGGGAGGGGTGAGTTCAAGAACTGCTCATCTCAGGGTCCAGAGCCCTTCCTGGGGCTCCAAAAGGCAGCTGTGGCCAGGCAGGGCCTCTGGCTGTTTGGTGGCTCCCATGTGGATGTTCAGGCCTCTCTTCCCTTTACAGCAACCCCATTCCAGTGAGGAACAAAGGGAGATGGGAAAGCTTTGAGGTGTCTGCTTTGTGCTAAGCTGGGCTGGCAGATCGGTGTGTAACTCCCAGCAGAGCTGAGCTCTCTGCTTACCAGGGGCTGTGCTCTACAAAACGCTTCAGTTCTGGCACTTTGGACACTTTAAACAGTGAAATGTTTTTATCTTACTCTGTGTTGTTTGTTTTCTTGCAGTGAAGCCAAAAGGCTGGAATTAGAAAGGCAGCTGATGGAACACACAATGGCTGATCCATACCTGTAAGCCTATTTAAAATGTCCTTGGAGGTTATTTTGTTTTAAAAAGATGGCCCTGGCTCCCATTTCCCCGCGTTGGCAGGAACGCTGTGTGGCTGCCCTGGTACCAGATAAGGGGATGTGAAAGGGAATGTGGTTGGTAGGTGGGTGAGAACTGGGTTAGATGGATTTTCAGCACCTGTTTTGGTGGCACCATGGATTCAGGCAGCTGTGAAAGCTCAGGCTGGCTGTGGCTGCTCGTGGGGCTTCCAGAACACACGTTCCTCCAGGTGCAGTTTTCATTGTGATTCACCGTGATACAAGAACACAACCCCCATAAAACACACGTACATGGGGTTTTTAATACATTTACCCTTTGGAACACCAGAGAGCCCTGTGTGAGCTGTAGGGAGTGGCACACCTGTGTGTATACCTGCAGAAGAACGTGTGTTTTGGGGGCCCGGGGGCAGCTCCCCTGTCAGTGTTACTGTGGTGAGGAGCAGTGACTGCAGCAGATGCCTCTGTGTTCTTGTTGCGCTCTCTCAGTCCGGTTTGTCCTTCCCCCCAGGGTGCAGGTGCAGTCCCTGGAGCTGCAGGAGCGCCTGGCAGCCGTATCCCAGCGCCAGCAGTCGGCTCTGCGGCGGAACCGCTCCTACCGCCGGGAATTCCGCCGGCTGCAGGAGCACATGGAAACCACAGGTTTGGAGATGATTCGGAAGATGGAAGTAACTTTCTATAAGACTTGATACATTCGTTAGTGTTTGCTGCTGTTGTACCAGTAAAGAGATTTCTGTGTGTCCCGCTGCTTGAGGCAAATGGATCAGGATCCCTCTTTCAGGTCATAGGACAGACGGGATCTGAAGCACTTCAGATTGAACAGACTGCTATAAAAAAGGTCAAGCCCTGAGGACTTCTTAAAAATGTTATTATTATTATCATATTGTCTTGCTATTCCCCAACAAACAATTTGGGATGTGGCAAAGTGGTATGGTACGGTGGTGATTTCAGATTTTTAAAAACGAAACTGCCATTTGTGCTCTTGCCACTGATAACATGGAGCCAGGTTGGGGGGGAGCGCAGTCTGGGAGGGAAATGAGCGGTGGCATCCTTCAGAAACAGTTAGCTGTGTTTATTCCTCACACAACAGGAACCCAGGTAGTGCCTGTTTGCATCTTTTCCCGACTGTAGTGAACCCAGAGTTCAGACTGTCTGTGGAGAGGGTGTGATTCCCCTCCCTCGGATTTTTACTTGTTATTTGAAGCAGAGCAGGAAGAGCTGTGCTGTGGTCCCAGCTTTGCCCTGCTGTTTTCAAGGATTTTTATTTTCCTCAGCAGCCCCAGTGCCCACCAGTTTGACCAGTGGCAGGTTGTGGTGGTTCTGACACCCTGGTGTGAGTCCCAGTCAGGCCAGGGGTCGATCTGCACGTAGGGTTTTGTTCAGTCCTTCCATTTTGATGTTCCTGTGCCATCCATTTCATCTTTGCCAAGTTAGAGTTATTTTTCTGAGCTACTGAACAAATGACACCTCCTCCATGCTAGTTATGAAAAGCAGAAGAGTTATGGAGCATGTAATCATTTAATCTATCGTGGGAGTACACAGAAATTATGACTGTTTTCTCTTTTTTTTTTTTTTTTCCATAGAGAATGCCCTTTAGGAATGCTTTATCACAACTCTGGGCACATTTATTATGTGGCTGTAGCTCACAAAACTTCTTTTGTTTCTGAAGGATGCACTTTTGTTCCCTGTGTTTGCCTGCAGTTTGGCCAGTAATTTTTAGGAGTACAAATAAATTCACTTAAGCTTTCAAGAAAATTTGGGAGTTACATTTGAGCTTCTTCTGAGCATCCCTAATTCTCACACGGTGAGGTTTTGTTTCTTAAAATTCCCCGTTTACGCTTTCCTGAGCAGCCTCTTCCCCGGGAGCTGAACGCACCACTGGAGCGAAGGGCAGGGCTGGGCAAGTGAATTGTGTTGAGGATTTGTTTCCATGCCTGTTACCTGCTGCGGAACAGAACAGCTGCTGAAGTGCTTTCAGGCTGCCCTGACGTGCTTGTTGGGGTTTGCAGTTAGGAACAAACAGGATTAATTGCAGGTGCTGCCCGTGCTGTGCTCCGAGCGCGTCACCGCTGCTCCACTGAACTCTGGAGTGGGGAGAGCCGGGCCTGGAGGAGCAGACAGGGGGCCTGTCCCGCTGGGCTGCTCTCTGGAACAGCTGCCCTGCATCCTCCCTGGAAGGGCTCAGCCAGTGGCAGGGTGGGGACAGACATTCTGAAGCTGTTTCATCCGCTGTCTGGGCACACGGCAGCAGTGATTCAGTGTTACAGCTGACAGCTGGGATGCAGTCAGTTTGAGTCAGCGAGTTATTGCCGCTCTGGAGGATCCTAAATTGCAAAGGAATAAATGTGCTTGAAAGCCCTGCAGCAGGCTGTGTACGGGCCACGCTGCTTGGGCAGGGGAGCAGAGAAATGAGCACAAAATGGGATCTCTGGCTTTTTAAATGTAGCCTGAGTGAAAAAAGGCTGCAAGGACTTCACATTTAAAGGTGCACAGTTTGCAAAGTAATATCTGTTGGTTTGGGGTGGGGGGTGTGTGGGTTTTGGCCTCCAGTTTTGTGTGACGGATTTGTTCCCATTTAGGCATGGTATGGAAGGGAAATTAAAAGCCTGTTATCCCTTCAAGAGGGCAGCTTGTCAGCAGGAGGTGACAAGGAGGAAGGATCCAGCGAGCAGGTAATGGGGGGGAATGGGCTTTATTCCAGAGCTGTGCACGGAGGAGCAGGCAGTGCTTTCTGTGGGGGCTTTGGTCCCGGCGTGTGCAGCGTGGAACGGTGTTTAGGGAGTCACCTGGCTAAAAAGTGCAGTTATTGCAACCAAAGAGCTGGAATTTAAAAACAAACCACGCTGATTGTTTATGCACATCCTGTTGGGGTTTATAACTCCCGTGCTGGATGGTGTGCAAATGGTGGTGAGCGAGGGGGGCTGTTCCTGATGAGGGGTGTTTGTGGAAATGCAGCGGTGGATCCGTGCGGTGTGCTCGTAATCCTGTGGGTTTTGACCTTTCCTCAGAAGGAGCAGAAGGAGATTGCATATCTAAGGAACAGACAAAAAGACTGACAAGGAATACTTAAATATCTGTTGCCATATATCTGCAGTAATGCAGGCTCCTAATCCCTCCTCCTATCTCCATATAAATGATACAGTTCAAGACCAGAGCTGTTTCCTCCACTAAAAAGCAGCAAAGCTCTTTTAGATGAAATGTCTAAAAACATCTTGTAATAACTTGGAGCATGCTGGCAAGAGTAGTCACTTGTGACTGTGTGTGGAAGCCCCTCAGCCAGGCGGCGCCGGGATAGGCAGGACGGGAGCATCTCTCCATTATCCCGAGGAGCCGGCAGCGCGTCCCTCAGGCTGCAGCATTCATTAAGGGGAGCTTACTGGGCTGAAAGCTGGGAACAGATGATAACGGGATATGATTTTCATATTTAATGCATTCCTTGGAAGAGTGTGTGTGCTGCAGATTGATAGAAGAATCAACTGCTACTTTACTAAAAGACTTTCTAGTTTGCCCTATAGCTACCGATGGAATCATTCAGCCAAGAAATTAACTTTTTCCCCTTTTACCTGCTTTATGTATCTGCTAAGCAGGCTGCTGGCTGCCAGGGAATGTTATTATGCAGTTAAATGTTTGGTATTTAAGACTCTTATCAGAAAAGAAACAGAGGCCACACTATTTTGTTTTTATAGTAGGAGGAAGGTTTTTGGTTTCCTTTCTTCAGTGCATTAGCAGTGGTTAATCTGAGTTTATAGGAAGTTTTCCCCATAGATTAAAAAGTTAAAAACCTTGAATTTAGAGCATTCTTTAAACTGTAATATACAAAGCAATGAACCCGAGCAGCCTTGACCTATATAGGCCAGGCCTCCAGCAGGGTGGGAATTGTGGTTGGAATGGGGAGGTGTGGGGAAAGACAAGTTTATTTTGGAATGCTGGGTTGCTCAGTTAGAGCAGGTGGCGTGGGAGCTGGGATTTCTAACCCATGGAAAAGTTACCACGAGTACTAGAACATCAGAGGCTCATGCTGTGACTGGGGATATCCAGGATATAGATCACAGACCTGGTTCCACGTACCAGCACTGCAATTGTGGTGGCTTCCTTCAGGCTGGTTGGGATCCAGGGTCCGTGTGAGGAGCCCATCACTGACACATCCTGGCGACTAAGGACAATCCTAGAAATGGTCTTCCAGTGATGGTCAGTGTCCCAATGGCCTGAACACCATCAGGAATACCTGGTACACCTTTGAGATGTGGGATATGCACCCTTCTGGGGTCCCAATTTTCGTGGGAGTCCTTAAGCTCAGGAGTCCCATACTGAGGAGGTCCATCCCAGCTGGCAGAGCTCCTGGAACCTTTGTGCTATGAGGTCTGGCTTTTTCAGCTTGGAAGCACTTCCTTGAAGCCTTCTGAAGATGCTGGACTCGTGCAGGCTGGCACTGCTGTGTCTGTTGGCTGTGGGTGCCTCCCAGGAACACCCGTGGGTGGCAGAGCCCCCTTCCCTGGGAAAGGGACATTCCCAGGTGAGGGAGCGCCTGGCAGGGACAACCCTCTCACTGCACCTGCCCTCCAGAGCTCTCACCTGGTTGTCTGCTGCCAGGGCACACTGGGCCCTTCTGTCAGCCCTAGTGGAATGGCTTTTCTTATCTCTGAATACTTTAATGCTCATCAGAGAGGTGGGCTTTGTTCCTGGAGGATGGTGGGAAGCCTGACCTCCAAACCAGGCAGGGACTGAAGGTGTGTTCATGCAGAGACTTTGTTCAGCTCCCAGCTGGGATGACCTGAGGTTCAGCCATTTGGTGGCTGTTTTGGGCCAGACACCTCCAGGTTTGCAACTGTTCTGCTGGTAAAAGCAGTGCCTGGACCAACCTAATCTGTCACGTTTCTGCTCTGAGGAAGCAAAGGTGCTGAAGGGATGATTATTTTCCTGCAGTCCGAGAGAAGCTCGTTAGGGATGTGTCTGCTGTGACTGCCAAGAGCTTGTGCCTGTTTGAATTCCATTTGTTTTGGAACACTGCATCCAGGAGCTGCCAAAGCCATGCAGGACTGGCAGGAGGCATTTGAAAGCACCAGCTAATTAATTAGGAGGAACCTGAGAGCAGTGGTGATGGAATAAGCTGTGAACTTAATCCGAGTAGCAAACCTTTGCTGCTTCTTAAAATAACTTCATGGCTTTTTGTTCTGCTTCTTGTTACGTGGAATTTGAGCTTTTTTAAGGAACCTTGGTCACAGAGCAGACAAGATGCCTTTGTTTCCTTTCAGCTGGGCTCGGCAGCTGACTTTGTGTGGGAGGGAGAGGTCAGGCACTGAAAGAGGGGAGAGGTGTGGAGGTGACTGTAAATTGTCCTGCTGGGATTTGGGGCTGGAAAGGAAGCCCTGCTTAGTGTGAACAATGGCATTACGATGGCTAATTTTGGCTTTGCATAAACTGGTGGTGACCCTGCAGTAGTGGTGGTGACAGTAGCCACTCCTCCTAAATTGTCCTGATTGAGTAGGTTTGCAAAGAAAAAAAGGCAAGTGCTAAAACACTGGCATTTAGCAGCAGAGTGGTTGTGCTCCTGGACCTGTTTTTTTGTGCAAGTTTAACAGTTTTTGGAGGAAAGTGCCATTGAGAATGTGCCTGGTGGGTGCCCCAGGAGGGAAAGGCAGTGCCCCTGCCGTGGTGTGAGCTGAGGAGCTGGCCTTGCTCTGTGCTGTGGTCTGACAGCCAGGCAGGAGCAGAAGGCATCTTCAGGGTTTGACTCTTTGTAAAAACCAGTCCCTGTTTAGGTGGGTTTGAGTCCTTTGTGTGCTTGGGCCCCCTTTGGTGGGTTGGGGGTGCAGTGAGCCTCTGCCACAGGTTGTTGTAGCTCACTTGAGGTCTGGGCCCTCATTTTCACGCTGGGATGCACGGGATGCATGCCAAGGGATTGTGTAACATTAATGCTGTGGCAAACACTTGAATGCTGTGATGATTTTTCTCTCCAGAAACCAATCTGCCATCCTCTAGAAGCTCCACTTGCAGCAGTGTCCCTCAACCCCGTCCCACTTGTGTGTTCCAGGTGCCACAGGCTGCAAGACAGGCAGGGATTGGCACCGAGACAGCTGTGCCAAGAGAACAGCACCATCCAGCAACAGCCTTCCTGGGCTGCCCCACTCCAGCTGTGTCAGCCTCAGGAGCTCTGGGAATGAAGCAGGAACCCCCCCAGCCCCCATCCCCTGAGGGACTGGGTGCCGAGAGCCAGAGCGCTGGTGGAGAGGCTGAGGGAGCAGCGGGACACGGGGACCTGGCTGCCAGTGAGGAGGGCTCTCAGCAGCTCATCTCCTCAGCTCCTGATCCCACACCAGCCACCCCCAAGGAGGGAGAGCTGCAGGGAAGTGTTCCAGGTATGGCAGCGAGAGCAGGCGAGGAACTGCAGAGTCTCAGAGCCTCCAGATGTGTGTTCTGCTGCAAGCTTTGAACACTGGGAACGATTGGAGCCTCTTGGGCTGCACTCTTTTGCCCTGAGAAAAGCTTTTTCCAGCTTCTCTGATTGCTCCTCCAGATCTGATCTGGTCTCATAGCTGGCCTCTGTGCCAGGGTGGTTTTTGAGGGGTGCCAGGTTTGTTCCCAAACCCCAAAGGCTGGAGCCTCCCCAGACTCCCCCTTGTGAGAGGAGTGTGGAAGGACACGGGGCTGTGGGCAGGAAAACCCCCAGCCAAGGGAAACAGAGGGATGGATGGATGGATGGATGGATGGATGGATGCTCACACACACACATGTGAAGGGACAAGGATGAACACAAAGTGTGTGTAACCTTGGTTTCGTTTCTTACACTAGGATACAGTCCTTGGTCCTGCTGATGTTTTTGGAAGAATAACGAATTCCTCTTACTTTTTTTAATTTATTATTGCAGGATCCAAGTCTGTCCCGAGTAAGTGGTGGGCTGGTACGGAGGAGAGCAGTGCAGAGCTCCCGGTGTCCCGCAGTGCAGAGGAGGGGGTGACGCCCAGCACGCCCAGCGCGCAGCAGGAGCGGGACGGGCATGCCCAGGCTGTGGAGGGCTCCCCACTGCCCCCACTGAGCTGTACCCCAGCACAGGAGGAGCCCTCAGACAGCTCAGCACTAGACAGGTATGGCCTTCCCTGTTTTCTCTCTGCTCACTCGCTGTCCCTGCTCCAGGGGCTGCAGATCAGCCGGGCTGGTCAGGGCACTGAATTCCACGCAGGTGGGCCAAGTTCTCACCTGTCCTGCAGGACTTTGTACCTGTGCTGGGGGTTCAGTGGCTCGGGTACCTCCCTCTGATCAGAGCTGGCCGAGTGAAGGGTGTTTTGTTAAAATGCAGTGACTGTTCTTTAAATGTACACAAATTTTACCCCGGTGGCTCTGCATGGCAAGGACCTGTCACTTTACTGAACAGCCTATTTTGTGTGAACTAGAGCTTCCAGTTGGTTCAATCTTTTGACCATTTGTCTGGAAAGAGAAAAAGAGCAAGGACAGTGCAGTGCAGCCCCACAGCATGTCCTCTGGTGCCGTGTGACATCAGTGGGGTTGTGTGGCCAGGGACGGCAGTGCCAGAACAGTGGCTGTGACGTCAATCACAGCCGGATTTTCGGCCTTGCAACGCCCTCATGAGACAGGGAAGTGCATCCCCATCCCAGCAGGGCAGTGCCCACTGTGAGATGGTCCCTGGGGCTGGCCCAGGTCCCCTCCCCGTGTCCTGTGCCAACCACCCAACCCCTTCTCAGGCCCCCACTGGGGTTTTTGTGGGACATCGGGCAGTGACCACGTACAGAGGAAAGCAGTGCTTTTACCCCAGGGAACAGGGCTAAAGTGCTCCTGGGGAATGAATTCTCCTGCCACTTGGCTGAGTTTGTCCATCTTGGTGGTTTGCAGCTTTCCAACCTGTTCAGTGCATTTACTCCCCCAGCATTCCCAGCCGTGTGGTGTTGGTGCTGACGTCAGGATTGGTTGGAGTGTTAATAGGTGACAGCCGAGCAGAAACAGACACTTCTGTAACTTTATCATTTCACATTTGCATCGGGCTGTTGCTTGCTGTGGAAACATCACCTAATTTACATGTAAATAGCTTTTACCCAGTGTTTCCTTTGTATCACACCTGTTAATCACAGCAGTGCCCGGTCTGTGCCAGAGGACTGGGAGCTGCGCACGGGCAGTTTAACCCTGTGTTCCCTCCCTGGGGAGGCCTCACTGTTCCGTGGCTGATGAGAGGTCGTGCAGCTCCCTCAGAGCCCAGGGAAATCACACACAAGGTTCCACCACTCTGTCCCCGGGGTGTGGCTGAAGGCTCCGAGGGTTCCTCCCTGAAAGCTGCCCTTTCTCGAGGCCGGAGGAGTGGGGTCACCACTGCTGGCTGTTTCTGCAGCAAAGATACAGAATTTAATTTGTTTTACCTGAAAATTGAAAGGCAGATAAACTGGCAGGGAGTGGAGGATCTTGTGGAGGGAGGGGCAGTAGCTCCCTTGTTGTGCTTGTGACCGGGTGGGCTTTCCAAGGCACCCAAAATTCAGTGTGCACCCTCGAGCCTTGCAGAATAATCACTGAGCTAAAGAACTTGTGGAAAAGCTTCCAAGTGATTAGTACATGAATTTCAATTGTACAAGTGTCACAGACTATGAGAATGCAGCTTTCTGTGGTCAGAGTGCATCGTGCCACAGATTCAAACAGCAGTAATTCCAGCCCCTGTGGTTTTCTCCTGTGAAATTCCTCCACTGGCTGAAGAAACGTGTCAAGCTCTGTGCATTTGTTGTCTTAAGTCAAAATACCTGTGACCTGGGCTCTCCCCCTGCAGCAGTGTTGTCACTGTGGCATCCAGAGGAAGCACCGTTCCCTCTCCTGGTGCACTTTTGGGGAATTATCTGAAAGGGGTACAGGGGATGGCCTTGAAGGGAGCAGAGACCACGGCTGACTGCAGATACAAAACAGAATCCTGGTTGTGTGCCAGGAGCTCACAGGTTTTCGTCTCTGAAGCAAACACCTCTCCTGTCTTACTGCAGCGATGCCAGTTTTTAAGGAGTTTTGGTTTTTTTTTCCCCACCATTAAGAGTTGGCAGGTCATGTGTTACCTCAGGATGAGTTCAGCCTCATTTCCAGGTGCCTCCCCAGTTACAGGAGTGGTTGTCCTGACAAGATCTGGATGTTTTCACAAGCAGACCCACGTGAGCCCAGGGGGTTTTTGTTTTCTGATGTTCAGCCTCCACCATGTGGGGGCTTGTGAAGGCACCAGGACTCCAAGGGGAAAGGCTCTGTGTCCTCTTACCATTCCTTCCAGCATCCAGCCCTTTCTTTGAGGCTTAAACCCGGGGAGGGGGGAGAGGGTCTCTGAGAATTAGTGTGGAGAAAGATGATGACTATTTTAAGGCCTGTGCTGAGGGGGTGGAAAAAGGCAGAGCTTATGCCAGTGCTGCTTCAGCTGCATTGAGGAGGACTTAGCACAGATGGATTGTGCATTACAAAATGTAACACATAATTCAAGCTGTCAGCTTAATCAGACTGTTTCCAGGAAGCAACCTGTAAAAGAGAAGGACCTCTTGTTTGCTGACCTCTGATCCGTAGCCTGCTGCAGATTGTCATACATTTTGTTTTTCTTTATGTTGGTGTCCCTTCCTTCCCCTTCCCTTTTTATTATTGTATCCCTCTCGAGTGGCACCCTGGAAGGACCACCCAGCGGGAGGAAAACAATGGGAAAGGAGCCTGCCGCTGGAATACAGGGTTTGTAAGGCTGGGGGAAAAGAGAAAGCACTGTTTAACTGCCTATGTGATCCCCCGGGCATTGTTTTGCTTATTAAATGTCTAGGAAACTCGGCTAAAGGCACGGCAGCTCCCGCTTAATTGTTCACTGTTGCCCAACACTGGGAGGGAAAGCACAACTTTGGGTACAGCTCGACACCAGGGCAAGAAGGAGGCGGGTTTTTGTGCTCAGAGCCCCTCACCAGGGGCAGTGCCAGCCGGGGTTAACTGTGGAAACGTGTCAGCTCCTGCACACGGGGGAGAGAAATAAAACTCCCCGTGCCCCAGCTGGGGTGTTCATCGCTGGTGGGGGGAGACCTGGGCCGGGAGCCCCACAAAGCGGCAGCCGGGGCCCTGAATAGCCATTTACACCCCCTGTTCCAGGATTAGCCGCTGCATTGTTTCAGTCGATAAGTCCTCATTTGCATCATTATAGAGGTGCAGCCTCATCAAAACCCCTCTGAGGTCCCCGGGCTGTCCCCATACCTGTAGGTGGTCACCAGATTTGTTCTGATTGTGGAGGTGAAGGAATTAAACTGCTCTGCACAGGGGTAATTTCCATGTGGCATCCCAGCCCGGGCTCATTTTTCTGATGGTTTGTTTGCTCGTGTGCCTTTTTTTTTTTTTTTTTTTTTTTCCTTTCCCTTCCTACACAGCTCAGGCAGTGTGGTTTTGCTGTTTGCTCTGAAAAGCTCAGACGAGGATGTGTTTTTTCCAAGGACTGCGATGGGAATGCATCTGCAATACCTGTGCACCTCGGGGGGCTCCAAACCCTCTTTGTCCATCCTGGGATGCTGGCAGGGCAACGCAGTAACTCCAGAGACTTCTCAGGCAGTCACTCCTGTGATCTGCAATGCCAGGCCTGGGCATGTACAGACAGGCAATATGATTTTGAGCAGCAATTTTATTTTTCTGCCAGGCAGAAGATGCCCGTGGCCTTTAAAAACAGCAAAGTGCAGTTATCCAAAGTGTTTGTTTTTTTTTTTTTTTTTTTCCCAGTGCATATACCACAAGGACAAGCAAGAATTGGTTGTGTTTTTTTCAGTCTCTTTAACACGGGAATGAGAACAATTTCCATTCTGTCCTTGCTCAGCTCCTGTCTAGCCCTCCCTCCCGGTGCAGGCTCTGCGGTGCTCAAGTGCTGGCAGGATCGGGGCACTCTGAGCGCTGAAGGAGGGGCTCTCTGCCCATACCTGGCTCTGCTGCCCAGGCTGATACGCCTGCCAGCACTAATACCTTGTTGTGTCTCCTGAATGGTTTCTTAGGGACAAACACTTGTGGAGTTAATTGGAATTCACTCCTCTGTGAAACTTCACCGGAGCAACTGGAAAAACAAACGTCTTTAGCAAACAAGGTCGCAGTACTGAGGTTTTCTAGGTTAAAAGACAAGCCTGGGGTGGTGGGTGCTCAGCTGTGCCCTAGGGAGGGAGGGAGGCCTCAGGGCTGGGATAGGGATGCAGGAAGGGTGAGGTGTGTCTGGATCCTGAGCCTCAGGACAGGGACAGACATCGTGACCATGGTCACCCCTGCCCGACTTCCACATGTTTGCAGAAGTCACAAGTGGCTTCTTACAGTTTCCCCTTTAAATACTGCTTTTCAGTTCAAAAATGCTCAGTGACAAACATGTGATGGCTTTTGTCCAGACTGATGGGTGTCATGTGCACGGGGGGTCCCCGGCTTTGTTCCTCAGGGACACGGACGTGCTGCAGAGTCACCTGAGCCACCATTCCCTGCTCCTGGAACAGCACCGGGCTCAGGCCCTGGAGGGAGTGTCGGAGACGTCTGACAGCCTGCTGGCTTGGGGTGAGGAGGCACAGGACAGCCAGGTGAGCACCCACAATTTATAATACGTGTTTTTGGCCCGTGGTGGTGACTTCTTTCTCTGAGGGCTTTTGGGTGTTCTGGGAGCCCCACTGGGTGGTGGTGCTGCACAGCTGGGCTGCAGGGGAAGGTGCAGAAAGGGCCCTTTGAGCTCCTGGTGCACAAATAGAGCTGTTGAGTCTGTCAGCTCCATCCCTGTCAGCACCTCTGGTCTGTGGAAGGTTAATGATGACCAGCAGCAGGTCTGCCTTCTTTGTCTCTGATCACTGAACTCTGTCTGTCTTCTGTTCTAACTCCTTGTCAGATCAATGAACAGGGAGCAGACAGCAGATCTCCCTGGGAAGTACAGATGAACCTGAAGGTGTGTCGGGAAACGCTCCATGTGGAGAATAACGGGCTGGGGCCATTTCTGTTTTTAATGCTGCAGGCTCTGCCAGTGCTGAGAGAGACCCTTCCAGGAGAGCGTGGGGATGGGTCACCTGTCCAGGGTGAGGAGTCATCCTGCAGTTTGCCATCGATCCTGACAGATGACAGGGAAGAGGAGCGGGCGGAACGCACTGCCCGGCTCACCGGCACGGGAGAACCAGGTAAGGGGGGGTCTCTGGTCCAGATTCCTGCTCTGGACATGGCTGTGTTCTGCCCAAATCTACAGGGGGCTGTGCTATAGCCATTGACAAATTGATGTGGGTTTGTAGCAGATTTGAGGGATTTTCCTAAGTATCTCAGTATTACTTGTTGTTCTGCTTACTTCCCAAAATTAGCGATACCTGTGATGGTGGGACTTTCTTTGGGAGTTAAAAAGCCAAGCCTTGTGTCCTGTAAAACACATCTGTGGGTGTGCACGTGTTTACAAAGCATCTCCTGTTTAGAAACTGGAGGTTGAATTTGATGCCTTGTGTTACTAAGCCAGGCTGCAGAAGGACTGACCAAAACCAAAAGGGTTCCTGGTGGGGGAAGTGTGCGGGGCTGTTTCCCAGCTCAGGAGGTGAAGGTGTCTGGGAATCCAGGTAATTTCTGTAGCTAAGGAAGGAATATATCAGCCCAGTGGCCGCAGCTCGCTCACTCTGACTCCGAGCATCCCTTCCATCCGAGGCTGGGCACAGACAGGCAGTCAGGCTGCCCTGCCCTTTACACAGCAAATGCAAACACGCTGCTTCAGGTCTCCTAAATTCATCCAACTGTTATTTGCAGAGGTGGCACAGACTTAGATTTAAGCTGATTTCCACGGTGGGTGTGATCCCCAGTGCAGCTGCTGGACAGGAGTGTGGCATTGCTGCGGGTTTGTTGTTTCCCGAATCCCGTCGGGTCTCCAGTTCTTTAAGATGTTTGGCTGGCTTGTCCTTGTCTGGGGAAGCACCAGGCGAGCTCCCAGTGGGCGCTACTTTTAAGAGCAGTAATGGATAGTTCAGATCAATAAACAAGAGATAACAAAAGTGAGAAATTAAAGGGAGCTGGGCTTAAAGGCAGCCAGCCCAGTCTGATCGCCGGCGCTTTGAAATGGTTCTGTCGCGGCGCGTTCACATCCAGGAGTCACACGCTTGTGTGAAGATGAGAGCGGGGAGGAAAGCGCAGTGGGAAGGATTCCTGTTGCAGGTAGAAGGGGTGGCAGCATGTTAACCTGGAGCCCAGCAGTCAGCTGGGTTATGGAGTCAGAGCGTGGGGGTTTGGTGCTGCAGGGCCGCTCACAGGGGGTGAGTTCAGGCACTGCTCACTGAGCACAAAGATGAAACGTCAGACCAGGCAGTCCAGCTCACCTTGGCACAAAGCGAGGGGGAGAAGAACAGGGCCTGTTTAATTCCTTGTAATCATGTAGCACGCTCAGACCATGTGGATATCTGGTCACTGAGCCTTTTGGGGCCGGTGTCGGTGTCACAGGGGTCAGTCTCCGTGGGGAAGATCCAGGAATTATTAGGCAAACTACACATGTTCTTGGTTTGATTGTCTCCTCGAGGGATTGACTGTGGATCATTAGAACAAGTGTGGGGCAGAGCCCTGCTGGCTGGGAGCGGTCCCTGTGCCTGGAACCCCAGGGGGCTGTTCCGTGTCAGTCAGGCAAGAGCCACGTCCTGGTGATCATCCCCCTTCCTGACCTCTCTCACAGAGCAGGCAGCAAACATAGATGCTTCCTTTGTGTCAAAATGGCAATAAACTCCTTAACCAAGCCCAGTAACTCCAGTTTAAATCCAGCCCTGCCGAGGGTGCTGTACTGGCTGCTCTGCAGCCACGCTGTCCCCGGGAACGAGGCTTCTCACACCTCACTTGAAAGCCAAGCTGCTCCTTTCAGACACGATTCATCTTCAGCCCGTGATCTTCTCCGGGCTCCTTGTTCTGCTCCCGCTCCTCCCTGCCAGCCGGCTGCTCTTTCCTTTTTATCAGCATTATTTGCTGTGGCCCCAGAGCTCTGAAGTTTTCTGTGCCTCAAACAGAAGCTGCATCTCTGCGAGGCGGCTTTTGGGCTCGAGCAGCTCATTCCAGGCTTTTAGTTGAGCTGATACTTGATGTCCATCCATACAAGATTATTTTGCTGTGCAGCTTTTTTCTGTGCTTAAGGGATACAGGTTTTGGTGTTGGGGTTGGGTTTTTTTTTCAGTATTTGCTGAGTTCTTGAAGCTTTGGTGTGAAACACCAGAAGCCTTCTGAGGCTTTGGGGTTTGATGGGCTTTGCTGTGAGAGGCGTGTGGATGCACTGCCAAGGATGGCACTTTAGGAATGCTTCTGGGGTT